CTCATATACTGGGAGAGGGGCCTCAAGGAGAAGGCCGTCGCTTTGTATCAGAAAGCTGCGGAACTGGGCGACCCTGCTGGGCAGTGCAATTTGGGGATTTCGTATTTGCAAGGTATTAATTATACTAATTATCTACTATTTTAGTATTGAAATTATGAAAATTTGTGATAGAATTTGATTTTTTGTGGGATTGGAATTTACTCGTACGTTCTATCTGGGTGCAATTGTACTGCTTTCAATCAGTGCTGCATTAATTGTGCTTATGAAAAATGCAGCTGAACCTCCAAATCCAAAGGAAGCTGTAAAATGGTTATATTGTGCGTCTTACGACGGCCATACCCGAGCTCAGTACCAACTGGCACTTTGTCTGCATCAAGGCCGCGGGGTGGATCGTAACATACAAGAGGCGGTACGCCATCATATCCTAACCAAATGCAGTTCCAATTTAATTTCCAGCTATTAAGTTGCAGCCATTTTTGTATGATGATAGCATTAGGCACTGTGTGCTTCGCTGCTGCCCGACGTGCTTCCTTATTCAGACATTTGACAAGTTTTCTTTTGTTCATACAGGCTAGATGGTATTTGAAAGCTGCGGAAGGCGGTTATTTGCGTGCCATGTATAATGTATCGCTGTGTTACAAATTTGGGGAAGGCTTGGTTCGCAGTTATAGCCAAGCGAGAAAGTGGATGAAGCAGGCAGCTGATTGCGGTCACAGCAAAGCTCAATATGAGTATGGGGTCGCTCTTTTTTCTGTAAGTATCATGTGTTGCATTCATAAAATTATTGTTTTAGCGGGATCCATTGGTTTGATTGTATGGCCAAATAGCCTAGCAGCTTTCATCTTTTTCGTCATACAACAACAACAAAGCCTTATCCCACTAAGTGCAACAACAAAGCCTTACTAAGTGGGATCGGCTGTGTGAATCATAGAACGCTATTGCGTTCGGTTTTGCTCCAAAGTCTTCCGTTAGCTCCAAGTATTCCAGATAAGTATTTAATTTGTTATGGTATGTGGTAGTATATGACTGATTGAAGTTTTGATGGTAATATCTGCAGAAACAAGAAAAGATGAAAGCTGTAGTGTACTTGGAACTTGCTACCCGAGCTGGGGAAAGTGCCGCAGCTCATGTCAAGAATGTAATTCTTCAACAGCTTTCAGCAACTTCGCGTGATCATGCAATGCGTATTGTCGACAACTGGCGTGCTTCGTCCTCATCTTCTTGACGGTTTGTAAATACCCCTTTGGTTCCTGTGACCATTTGAGGTTGCGTAGTCATCCTCTTCTGATGAGTGATGGTAGTTTCGTTCTTCTATAAGTGTGGCCCGATTGATGTAGAAGTAATACTGTAGCTGAAATACCAGTTCTACTTTAGCATTAGCTTGTAAGTGCTATTGTACAGAAATCCGAACTGTGAACTTAGGATCTCTGTGAATGTCATGAGAGGATTTGCTTGTATCCGTAAAGGGATTTTTGATGTCCAACCATGTTGTATGAAGTGAATTTACAATATCAATCTCACGGTTCCAGGACGTGTTGAGGTTGATCAGGATTCGCCTTGCAGAAGGAGCGGGGGAGCAAGCGACAGGTGAATTGGCCCTCAGGTATATTTAGTCCACTGCCCGTATCGAACATGTTGGTACCACACATATTGGGCCTCAGACTTTGACACATTGGGCCTCAACATTTGGGCCTCATCACCCAGCCCATAATTATGTAAAGGGAGGAGCCCCTTATTCTATAAAAGGGGACTCCTTCCCCCCCCCCTCCCCCTCTCACAAATCGGACTCGGTGAACCCAACAGAGGGCGATACCCTCACAAACTCTCTCAAACTCTCTCTTTCTCTGGGGGACTTCCCCTCACCTTTGTAACCCATCCATACAGTTAGAGAGAAATACAATCAACATCAATGTGGACGTAGCCCAAACATTGGGGTGAACCACGATACATCTTGTGTTCTTTACTTTCTTGCAGGTTCACGGCCGGATTTACGTTGTTCTAAGATCCTCCGGTTTTGTGCATCAACAAAACGACACGAAAAGCTATGTCGGTTCTCTTTCATTTTTTCATCTCACCGTGAGATCTCACCACACTCCACCGTGAATCTGCAAGAACCCAAGAAACCAAAACATCCATCTCTACTCTCTCACTAGGGCATAGCACCAGAACACGAAGGGCACTTTAAATTTCGCCACAGAAGACCAAGTTTTTTGTCAACCATTGATAAAAAAAAAGTTTGTATATTGTTAGGGAAGTTAGGGTGAATTGGGGAAAACATGGGAAGCAAAGGTCGAATCCTGCCTTCTCACATGTGTCGGCTACTTCCTGGACCCAACCCGTTTGGCTCGAGTATACGGCCGCCCTATGGCGCCTATCCTCCGTTTGATATGTTGCCTCCTCCTCAAGTTATGGAGCAAAAGCTGGCTGCACAACATGTGGAGATGCAGAGGCTTGTGGTGGAAAATCAGAGGCTCGCGCCCACGGAAGCCTGAGGCAAGAGCTGGCAGGTGCCCAATTTGCAGATATTACATGCCCAGATAGGAGCTATCAAGTCTAAGAGAGAACACCAGATAAGGAGCCTTGTGGATAGTATAGCTAAGATGGAAGCTGACCTAAAGTCAGCCGAGCCTGTTAAGGCAGAGCTACAGAAGGCTCGAGCCGAGGCCTAGAGCTGGGTTGTTTCAAGGCAAGAACTGATTGCCAAAGTACAACAACTCAGGCAGGTTCTTCAGAGGGCTCATGCGGATGTGCAACAGATTCCAGCTTTAGTTGCACAGCTTGATGGACTTGGGTAGGAATATCAACTCTGCAGGTTCGCTTCAAACACCACCCCTCCTCCTCAATGAGGATCCAACGGTGGCAGAGCGAGATCCATGTCACCTGCTCCCGCACCTGCACCTGCAAATCATGTGCAGTGGTACTACCCAGAGTACGACAACTGCACCTGCACCTGCAAATCTATGTCACCTGCTCCCGCACCTGCACTTGCAAATCACCTGCTCCTGGGGTACGGCAACTGTAGACTCGAACTGCCATCCCCACTGTTTGAAAAAACCCAATCGAAGAAGATAAGACTTTATATTTCTTTATGCTATTTCCCAATTATTCTATAAATGGTGCCCATCTTTACTTTTCTTTTATCTGCCTCAATTATTCTATAAATGGTGCCCCATCTCTTGCGAATACCACGGGAAAAGCGGAGATAAAGATTCTTTTCTCATAACAATTCTATTATTATTTCTTGCCATCTGGGAAAAAGAAAAAGAAAAAAGAAAAAGAGCTTTAAAATAATTGTTTATTTAATATCTTATTATTTCTGTCATGATGGCTAATTATAAAATAATAATTTTATTATTTTTATGTGATGATGATTTATGATTAAATAATATTATTTCTGATATCACATGATTACTATCACGTTATTGATTTATACATGTGATTTATCAAACAACTGAATAAATTATTTATTCATGATTATATATATATACACACACTTTTAGGCAATACCTAATATATTGTTGATTTATGCAGCATGTCATTTATCAAACAACTGAATAAATCATTTATTCATGATTATATATATATATATACACACACATTTAGGCAATACCTAATATATATTGTTGATTTATGCAACATGTCATTTATCACACAACAGAATAAATCATTTATTCACAGAAGGCACACAATACAATATTTTGCCTTGACAAACTTTGTCAATTTGATTTATTCATTATACGGTCGTACTTATACTGTCATTTATTGTCAGTAATTATTGAGCAACTATATCCACTGATCAACATTGTTGCTAATTAAAAAAGTCTACCAACTTATAGACTGATGAGCCACGTGCTCATGATAATCTCTTGTCTGACCGGACACTCACTTACTCGGACATTCGCTTATTGGGACACCTATGTGCTTGGACCTAACTCGGTGACCCTACAGATAGCCCTAACTCGATGACCCTACATATGGCCTCGACTCAAAGACCCGACTTGCGGACCCGATCCGCGGATCTGACACATAGACCCAATATGCGAACCCGACAAGCAGACCCGAGTCATGTCGAGAATCAACTCATACTGAGTGGATGTCGACATAAGGTAGATACTTACAATGAGGAATACCATGAGCCGAGCCGCCTCGCAACGAGTATCGCCTCCAGCTGAGCAAACGCCTCGCCGCAAGCATAGCCTCTAGCCGAGCAGCCTCGCAACGAGCATCGCATCCAGCCAAGCAATCTCGTAACGTGTGATACCTCTAGCCGACCTCTAGCCGAGTATTGCTTTATGTTGAGCATTGCCTTGGGTTGAGTACTGATTCAAGACATTTAGCCACTTCAGCCCGTACATGGATTGGATTTGACGTCTCCAGCCAAAAGACTCTCTTGATTGAAGACTTGGGGGACTACTGTTGGTACCACACATATTGGGCCTCAGACTTTGACACATTGGGCCTCAACATTTAGGCCTCATCACCCAACCCATAATTATGTAAAAGGATGAGCCCCTTATTCTATAAAAGGGGACTCCTCCCCCCCCCTCACAAATCGAACTCGGTGAACCCAACAGAGGGCGATGCCCTCACAAACTCTCCCAAACTCTCTCTTTCTTTGGGGGACTCCCCCTCACCTTTGTAACCCATACATACAGTAGAGAGAAATACAATCAACATCAGTGTGGACGTAGCCCAAATATTGGGGTGAACCACGATATATCTTGTGTTCTTTACTTTCTTGCAGATTCACGGTCGGATTTACGTTGTTCTAAGATCCTCCGGTTTTGTGCATTAAAATTTGGCGCCGTCTGTGAGAGATTTTTTATGATGTCTTTACCGTGACTTAGGCATGTTTTGGAAACTCAGCTAGTTGAGATTTTTGTTTGTATGAGAAAACTTGTATAATTGCTCGCCATGGTGGACGCATAGCATCCAGGTGTTACTGTTCTCAGTTTCGAACTTTCCCGTGCAAGTTGATTTTAGTTTTCGTGAACAAATCGTAAACAATGTATAGTTGTTCTTTGATTATCATGCTAGTTTGTTACAGGGACGACAGGCCATGAGGCCGATAATGAGTGCACAAGAGAGCCTCTACAACTGGAGTAGGTCCGACCTCTGCTGATTCACTAATTTTGGAATCCTACTCACCAAACAATTCAACTGTTCACGAGAGACTTTGGCTAGGACAACTCTCATGCTTGCTCTTGCTGTGATCAACATGGAGTCGGGCGCGAGTTGCAGGGTTTTCAACGACCAAATCAACATGGAGTTGTGATTTGGGCGCCGCGCGACCAAATCACAGGGTTTTCAACGACCAAAGCTCAAAAGATTAAAACGAAATGCAACTGTTTGCACTTTTATCTTATTAATCAACTATCTTTCGACGATCCCTGTTTCCTTCCATTCAAAAAGTATCAAACTGATGATCCTAGTACTACCGCACAGCACGATCGTACCCCGCAAAACCGTTTCGATCTTCTACCTTCGAGAATTTGTATTCACGGCACAAATGCCATCCTTTGCGAATGACCTCCAGTGTGGTACAGATTGAGGTGATATATCGCCTTGGACACCAACTCTCTCAACTCGGGATGTTGGGGGAGTGCACTGCGGTCAGCCCCTTCAAGGACTGTCAACACCCTGGTCGGTTCCAAAGAGTTGGTATTCCCAGAGTGCAATGCAAGGTAGCAAAGAAGAATCAATCCGTGCAGCCACGAGTGTTCGTTTCCTCTTAGCAGTTTCATCAGAGGCGGTATAGCGTTGGACTCAATTATCCTCTTCGAATGCTCCATACAGAGAAAATTATCCGGACAGGCAAACTTCCCCAGTGCAATTGCCGCTTCAGTTCCCATGTCAAGATCTTTGTGGCTAAGTTGAGTCACTAGCGGACCAATGACCCGCGTCTCTCTAGCAGGGAATGCCCTGGCAAGCAAGCCAATCGATTTTACAGCAGGAATTTGCAGTATCGGGCTGTCCACCTCTTTGATCAGTCTCAAGAGCTGATCCACAACCGCCTTGGCAGCCGGAGAATTGGTCTTAAACGCGGCTCGTCTAAGTTCAGCATTGGATTCAGCCGCAGCCGTTATCTCCATTATAGTCATCAAACAGTTGAATTGCAACTCACCCTGTTCCTTCTCCACCAACTTAGCCAAACAAAGCAAACCTTTGGTCTCAGTTATCCTCCTACCATTCAAAACACTGCCCCTGGCAAGCATCCACAACGCCGCGGCGCAACTAATTTTCAGCTGAAGCTTAACATGAGGCTTCTCATTCTCCCTCTCCTTCCTATGATGCCCGCCTCGGCTACTACCCTCCGAATAATAAGAATACGAAGAACTTGAATACGTATTCGAATGAGGTCTATACATACTGTCGCTGCTACTGCTACTGCCTCTCGATTGCGGTTTTGCTAATGTGCTCTTCTCTATTTCCCTATTAATCTGAATCAGAGAGTGAATGCTTTGCTTACCCAACTGATCATTACTCTGATCCTCCCCAAACATCTCGAACGACAGTAGCGTCACCAGCGGCCTGATCACATTCTCCCTGGCGAAATCCTCCTGGGAAATGCTGTCATGCTCTGCCATCCGAGCCACCAGGGTCGCCACATGGCTCTGAACCCTCATCGGCGAGTCGCCCAGAACCTGCACAATAATAGGCACCCCAACCTCATTCACAATAGCCTTCACCTTCTCCTGATCGCCCGCCAGATTATAGAGCGCCGTCGCCGCCGCAATTTGGGCATCAGGCGACGAGCCCTCCTTCAACAATTTCAGTAGCGGCGAGACTCCGCCTTCGTCGACAATAATCTTCTTGTTCCGGTCGTTGTCCTGCGCCAGTGAGGCGAGCTCATTGGCGGCCTCGATACGATGCGGCAGCTGACCCATTTGGACGGTGGCGATGAATGACCAGACCCACGAGAGAATCGGGTCGTTGCTGGCAATCGGGGCGAGGGAGAGTTCAATTCCGTTATTGCCAGCGGTGTCCGGGTCGAATAAGCTGAGCAGCCACTTCATGTCGCCGACGGAGGACTCGAGGAAGTTGAAGAGCTTCCGGAAGTCGGCGGCGCTCGTGATGGTTACGACACGTCGTAGGATGCTCTGGCGCTTGCACTTACGGACCAGGGTCAGGGCCCGCTCCAGATTCTTCGACACCTCGGCGACGATGCGCCGAATCGGGCGCTCGTACAGAACCGGGGCTGCCGTGGCCAACCGGACCACGGTTCGGAGCTTCTGCGAGAGACGATCCACCTGCTTCCCCACCTCGGAGCACTCCAGCTTGAACGACTCCGCCTCGTCGACGGCGGTCCGGACCCGCTCCGCCAGCAGAATCGGGTGCGACAGTTCGTCCTCTATTCGGCTCTCCTCCGAAGCCATCGCCCGCTGGAATTTCTACTGTGTGTTTTGTTTTGCAGAGGGCGAGTCAATTGAGTCAGCGGCCGAGTTAAAAATGCGGGGGAAGAAGAAGGGAATGGTACTTTGTCAGTTTAATACTCGTCCATATGTTTGCGTGGGTGTCAGGTGACGGCTGGTGGGGAATCTAAAAATTAAAGTCACTCCCGGGAAGGGCGCGTGGATTGGAAATTAGGATAAATTATAGTGTGGTACACTAATACCACGTCACTTGTCGTACTCCTACTTAAAATCTGACATGTGCTTCTATTTTGTACGGTTAGAAATGAATTGGTTTTACTTTTTTAATTTAAGTAATTAAAATTTAAAAATTGTGAAAACCCAATAAAACCTTTCCCAATTCCAGAAACCACCTATCCCACTCCAACCCCAATTCCAGAAACCACCTATCCCACCAAATGAAATGAAATTTAAACAAGATAAACCCACCAGTAACCACCTTTGTTTTCATAATACGCATGGAGTGAAAGTGTGAGTGATTACGTTCATTGTTTTTCAAAATCTATTTACATAAAAAAAACAATATATCTAACATAAGCAAAATTTAAAAAGAGTAAAACAATAAAAAATAATCGATTATCAGAAGCATAGCGGTGTGATAAGATGCTAGTTATTCATAAATCAAAATAAACAACTTTCTATATCATAACGAAATTTAAATTGTTGGTTTTTTTTTTTTAGTTATTTTGTTGTGATAGGTGGTTTCTGGAATTGGGGTAGGTGGTTTTTTTTTTTTTTTTTTTTACCAATTATGGGCAAGGAAAGAGGTCAGGGGAAAGCCCAGAGGAGGATAATTGTTTGCCAAACTGAAGTTTGGGTCATGTTGTGCAGAAAGACACAATCTTTGAGAGATCCAGATGAGTAATACGATGTTCTCTATGATTCTGTTCTTGCGTCTCTGAGAGACCCAGAGAAGTGAGAGAGAGAGAGATCGAAATCATGGTAAGGAATACGATCTCCTACATTTTGTTTTTTCATTTTTTGGATTTATTTAAAAAGTAAAAATAATATTAAATTCCAGCTGTATAAAAATAATGACACATGAATAAATTTTTGAAAGGAAGTACCACGGCTGACGTGGTACTACATTACTATACTATAATTACTCGGAAATTAGTGGGGAGACGAGCCAATTAGTCTTCTCTGTAACCGTTTTTAAGGTACTTTGTGCTCAGACGAACTTTCTAACCCCCCTGTATTTTTTTTGTTTTTCGACGTTTTTAAGGAAGGGAGTGGGGTCCAGTTGGAGTGGGAGTTTTTAGTAAACTCGGAATTGGAGCGTGGATGAGGCGATTTTTCTGAAAAAAAAAATAAATACTCTGTTTCTTGGTCCTTGCCTGGAAATTAGTGCACAAGCAAAATATGCTCGTTGCCAAAAGGACCAACTGTTGATCGGAAATTTCCATTTCTCAATTTGCCAAAAGGACCAATTGTATTCTGAAAATGTTGGTGTTAAACAAAAAATAATTGTACTATGTTTAACACCATCATTTTCAGAATACAATTGTTTTTGGTTAAAAATTTTGATCTATAACGAACTACATTAGTGTACCAAAAAATATTATAATGAATTAGTGTAAATTTAAAAAAAAAAAATCATGAAATTACACAAAAAAAGAAAGAAATAAAATGACATGAAATATAAATGTTCGCATTTGAATAGAACCAAGAGACTAAATTCAATTTTAAATCTTGTCGTACATTGATATTTAGTACTACGGTATAGTGGTAATACTTTTCACTTGTAAGTGAGAAATTTTAAGTTCAATTCTCGCCAAAGGATAATTTGAATCACAATATTGCTAGCTTATTGTGAAACTAAACTCATCTAAGCCCATCTCCCTTCTCATTAGTGTAAATAATAATGTTTTAAAAAAAAAAAAAATCTGGTACGTACATTAATCTAAATTTGATCTTAGTTAAGAATTAAAATCTAGTTTTCTGTTAATTAAACCTCTTAACAAAACAAAAGAAAGGCAAAGTGAGCAAAGCCTATCCTATTCCCATGCACAACACTTTCAGCTTCTCTGGGAACAAAACCGAGTTTACTTATGTGATTACTGTCTTTGTTTTCAAAAGTTGACGTTTATAATTTAACCTAATAAAATATATATTATTAATTAACAAATGAACCCAGGATTAAGACAGCCATAGTGGGCGGAAGAATTATATAATAACAAATATTAACAACCATGTTTAAAATGAAATCCATTTATTTCAGATATTACAATACATAAATTAAAAAATAAAATAAAATAAAGCCACCCCCATTCGGAGCATCACATTGTCATTGTGTATTCAAAGGGGTCGACAGAGACGTTTGAGCACCAGATGTTTTATAACATGGTTAGCAGTTCATCGTCTACCTTTAAAAATAATTAGGAGCTCATAAGCACGCCGCATTATTTAAATACAGATGGGTACGTACAATCTCTCCCTGTGATTCGTACGTAGGTACGTCATCCTTTCAGAGCTTGGCGAGTAACCCGCTCTGAATAGGTTTTGCAGCCATCCCGTTGTCCTTGAGGTCCAACTCGCATGTGCTCGGAGGGACGTCCACCGCCGGTGAGCAATTAAAGAACCCGTGCGGCTGCGTTACAAATAATAAGGTGAATCAGTATCATGAAGCTTTTATCAAATCTCTGTGTGCACTTGGGAGGTAGCAGCTCACAGGTACCAGAGGTGCAAGTTCGTGTAAATCCATATGCCTATGATCACATGAAGTACTGATTTCAAATTTTACACGTGTCGATAGCATCACAGGTTGAATATAACTGTCCTAGGAAAGAGGTATAATGTAACAAATCTTATAGACAAGTGAACATTTACGAAGAAGTTGAACAATATGTTGCGTACCATGAGCGTAAAACCAATACGTTCCACAGGCATAACCGGCCAGTCTTCCAGTCGAGGAATGTGTGTCACTCCAAATACATACCTGTAACAATCGGACATCGATCAGATTTTGAACCTCTTTATTCAGTATCACTTACAGTTAGTTTTCGGAGACCATTTATACCCTCCTAGTTCTAACATCGTACCCTAAAAATTACGATTACTGTTCCCAGCCTAGTAATGGTCAGAGTTTAGGATGCATCCAATTTTTAATGTGACTACGTGCACAACTGCGCACACGCACAGTAACAACCTGGTGTATTAGATAATGCAAGTCCACTCACCAAAGAACAATGTCAGCTTCTTCCAGCGACCGATTTTTCTGAACCCAAGTGGCCAATCCCTCCCCAATACGTGGGTTTTGATTAGGAAATTCTCCTCCAGGATACATTTCATCACGTGCATAAGATGTGACCCAAAGATTATGCTTTAAAAAAGCAGCTCTTCTCAGAAATTTTGCCTCAGAACCAGCTAATGGTAAACAATTTGAGCCAGGTACTAGCTTGTAACCTGTCAGCTGCCCAGTGCGGTTGACGTTTCTGGTGTTTCTGACCTAAAATAACAAAATACCATGTGGCATTTAAGCAATAACATACTTACTTCAGTTGTAAAGAAAATGATTAACTCATTTCTGAAGCAATCAAGGAATGTTGTCTTACAATCCAATGGCGAGCAGATAGAGGATTACAATCGCGCATTGCTTGCAGTTCTGATTTCAGCAATTTCTCCTCAGCATAAAATGCATTGTTATGAACATTATTCTTTCCTGGCTCATCAACTTTGACATTTACTTCAACCACCTGAGGGAAAACAGCAAACAAAGGGAAATAAATAGGGCTGGTTATCAATACATTCAGAGAAAGAGGAAAGAGTTGACTCAGAGGCAATAATGAGGTAAGCAATGCAAATTAGAATTCTACTCTTGAAATTTTAAATTATGAATGACACGAAACTAATTTTCCCATCATTTCATAAAGCACTGGCATCAATTTCAGAAAATCTAGACATCTAATAACCACGGGACAACAGAAAACCAAGCTTCAGAATCTCACATATAGCACCAACATCATAAAAGTTTATCCCAAGAACTTCATATGGGTTCATATAGGCTCCTAATTACTGGGGTTTGGGCTAGCTTTCAGATTTCATATGCATGAGTAGATTTTTCCCACAATGATTTGTGGAGGGGCAAAGCTAACATTTTCTTAGATAAGGCAACATCAATACCCAATGGAAGCTCAGCTTTATTGAGTCAATAAATCAATTGACCCATGAAACACTTGAACAACAAACCAATACAGGACATGAATAATGAATCATAATCGTAGAAGTCTTAGGAGAACAAACACTGGACATCGAATCACAGCAAGACAAGGCTACTTGGTTCTTCAAATGACTTGCAACGGCTATCGATACAAAGACTTGATTTGTGAAAATGAACTTGGATGTTACTTTTATTTTTAAACCTAATATAACAAACTACCGTAGTATATCAAAGAAAGGATCCCAAGAACACTGGTATGACCTGATTGAAAGTTTCACCAGGCTTACTATCAACTGCCATGTCCATACGAGCCACAAAGAAGTGCTGATGCACAGGTGCATATAGTCCAGGTGCAATAGTTGTACCATACTTTCGGGTTTCTCCTGGTTGCAGTGCACCTAAGCTTAGTATTCCTGTAAGTTTCACCTCAGCTTCAATATGCCCATCCTACAAAAAGCGAAAGTTGATAAGCGTCACCGTCACTTTAATTGCTCACCTCAAACAACAAAATCATACCCCAAAGAAAGGGAGCAGGGTAGGTCAAATGGATAAGAAGCACACAGATATTATGGTAAGTGAATTCAAATGATGCTAACAAGATGGTAGCCCGGCCCCATTACAGTACTGGCCATTTGTAACTTGTAAGAAGTAATTGGTGAACATGATGGAGCAGCTGGTTGTTATCAAGGAAACACAAGAAAATTAAACCCCCAGTGAAATTAAGGCTGATGACAGCTTGCCTGATAAAAATGCCAGTAAAATCCGTACTCATAGTTGGCGACAGTGCAAATAAAAGACACTGTCAACCTTCTAGCTCGTCTAACTTCTGCTAAACCTGTCCTCCAATCCTGATGCTTCCATAAGATTCCATGATCCTCCTCATGCAAGCAAACACAATTTTCAATTGTTTCAACACCCCCGGTGAAATTTGTAAAGTTCGCATCAAAGTACTTGATATAGCCTAAACAATCACAACCCTGCAACAACAAAACCACATCAAAGTGTACTTAATACAAAAAACAAAGAGATATGAAGTGAAAAGGGTACGAAAGTATCCCGACCTTTTTAAGAGAATGTGCATTTTTACCCAGCCCATCTTCCCCTGCATCAAATGCATTCTTCCTGTAGTGTGGATCATTTGGATCTCCGTAAGGAACAACCATCTCAACAAAACTTAACCTATGAGCCACAGGCCTCCGGCCTCGACTACCATCAATATATGCTACAGAATAGATAACCAAGCCTTCCTTGGAGGTAAAACCAATGCGGAAATTCCACTGCCAACCAGAAAAATAAAAAGAGAATAAGAATCAATACATGCTGAAGTGAGACAATCCAATTGTACAGTTCCATAAAATAATCAAGAACCTTCTGCCATTCAACAAAGTGCCCATTAACACGAAAACTTGGTCCTTCAGGCTGAATTATCTGTAGGGGTTTCACATCACTTCGATCAACACCTCCTCGTGTTTCACCTGGAGTATAATTTCTCAGTGGATCAGCAGGAGGCAGGGGAACAAGTTTACGGTCTTCAAACTCAAGAACCACCATATTTTGCATATCCACTAGCACACGGATTCCTTCAACTGGACGAGCATAACCATTTTCCAGAGGGCAGTCACTCTCAGTTCGACAGAAGATGAGAGGTTTAGCAAGCCTGCGGCTAGGAGCATCAGCACCACTGTGATATCCAGTACACCTGATAAGAAGAGACACACTCCGCAACATTATACAGATAAGTAACATAGAGTGAAATCATTTCTCCCAGCGTATTTATTTGAGAGAATCTAAATTTAGAAACTTACCAGGGATCCACCATCACAAGGTCCATATCCTCAATACCCCGCTTCTTCATTGCTTCCCTAAATGGAGGAAAGTTCTTCACAACAGCTTCACATTCAGCATATTCAACAGCATCCTGTATTTTCAGTAACAACGATGAAATTCTCTTTTTTATTTAATAGAAAACACATAAAAAACAATTGAGAAACTACAATTCATAGCTGGGTTTATATACCATGGGGGGCTGAACATCTGGAACAACTTCGGATGAAATGACTTTACCCCTATGGTGACCACCTCGAGTTGCCGCATGCACCTCCGATAGTTCAACAATCCAGATGCTCGTCTCATTTGATTTTTTATTATAAACCACAAGTCTCGCTTGCCTCGGAGGAAGTTTACTAGGAATCATAGGTCCACCCTTGGTTCTGGGAAGCAATGACGGTTGGAAGGGTGGGAAGAAATACGCATCTGCGAGTGCCACGACACGTTTATCTGGTTCTACCAAAGCCACTTCAACAAAGCGCATGCTATCTCTCACCTGCAGAAAACAATAAAATCAATTCCTATGATCCTTAAATGATCAAATCAATCATCCAAACTGAATTCTGGGTAAACAGAATCCCAACCCATATTTTCGGCTAAAACATAATCGATAATCGAATTGTAACTAACCTCAGGAGTTGCTCCAGCTGCCCTGACAGTGGCCACTGCCACTGAGATTTCAGCAGCAGATAAAGGCTCCAAAGGGTGGCTGCTCTGAGCCCTCAACATTACTGGAATGCCTATTTCAACAAATAAACAAGAATCATAAGAAACTTACCTCCGATCCTATTCCGGCCCAAATGGGTAGCATTCAGTTTTCAAAATCTGAAAGAAAAATTCTTGCTTTTCCTTTTCCTCTTCAGCAATTCGAGAAAGCAAAGAGCAGTTAAATCTAAAGGTAACTTTTTTTTAAAGCGCTGGGAAAAGAAAAGGAAACATTTTGAAAAAAAAAAAGGAAACAAAATTTTCCTGCGTGTAAGATTTTGGACCCCAGAAGACTGGAAAGGTGAAATTCATTAGACCAACCAGTACACGTAGAAACTCAAAAGCAGCTCAACATTTTCTTTTACTTTCCTTCACATTCTCAGCAACCAAACACCAAAAATAATCACTTCCTTGTCTTATAAAGTCAAAATCACGATCAGCAAATACAAGCAGTAAATAATAAACAGAAGAGTAAGTTTCTGAGCACCTTTGGTGGCAGCGGTGTTAGTAGAAGGAGCAGGAAGGGACTCCATGGGCCGGATCAAGGTCGGCACGGACGCTCTGGTGCGGATCGGATCCGAGTCCAGATCGGAGGCCGAACCGGTCCAATTTCGAACCGGCTCGCCGGCCTTGCGGAGCAGAGCCGAGGATTCGGCGGATGCAGCGTCACGAGGCGTCGCTTTTTCCTGAGTTGTGGCCATTGGGAAGGGTTATCGAGCTCACCGAATCCGCCGTAGTAACAGTCACTGGAGTAGTATTCCACTGACATACAGCACTGCGTCGTCTCACTCTCAGCAACCCCACAGGCACAGAGATTGAAACGAAACGAAACTTTCTCGCAGCCAGTTGATTTTTCCGGGAAAATAAAAGCCCGGTGGGGGAGGGGAACAGAGGTTACAATAAGGACAAAGAAGGGTATGGAGTGGAGCGATAGGAGGTTGCACTTGTAAGAAACGTCGTTCTGCTGATATCTCAAATCTGTGGGCTGGGGTGGGGTCCTTTACTGCCACGTCATTCCTCCTCCTGTCCAACTCTGTAACACTCAAAATTAAATGAGAAATTTTCCGTTACGATCGATATAATTTGGTAACACTCAAAATTAAATCAGAAAATTTTCAATACGATCGATATAGTTTGGTATCCTACCACTTATACCATTTATTTTATGATATTTAATATATCCAAGTGTATTTTTGTCTCATCGAAAAATCTATCAAAGTTAAATATTACGTTACATACCCTTGTGTGATCATTTTCATTTTCTCTCTCCTTTAATTAATCAAAGAGGTGGATTGATTTGGAACCTATTATCAACAAGAACATCATGAGAGAGAAGTTGTGCAAGTTGCAAGTTGCAAGTTGGCAATTAATGTACTGTTTTTGATGACATGAATGATTATTATGTATTAAATAATATATTATTTGTTTCTTAGATAGTTATCACGTATTCAATATATATATTGATGACGTGAATAATTATTATATATTCTAATTTTTAAGATGATTTGTGGTTAATAAGAAATGACATTGTTTTTTTTTTTTTGAACAAGACTTATTGTAATTTTAGGTTTATTTTCTGCACAAGTTTTTGTTATCAACTTATCATTCATAAGATTAAATTGTTTTCGAGAAAAGATTTAAATGCGTGTTTAATGACTTTCATATTCTTTTACATAACTTTTATTTTTTGTTAACATGGATAGAAAAAGAAAATAAAAATTTTCCTTGAATAAAGCAGTGGAAGTATGTATATAAAAACAAAAACAAAAAAGGGCAATTTTCATATTATTATCTTTAAGTTTTTTTATGATGATCCGTCCCTAATTTTCTATGTAATTTCTCTTCGAGTGTGTAAATTAACATTTATGCCCTTGTTGGCAAAGTGACGTGGACGTGATTATGCATGTTTAAATTATTTTCCCCGCTATCACAATTAAATTGTACTCGTTGTTACGATCGTGTGAGCGCAAATTAGACCCGAATCAGATTTATAACGAAAAAGTTATGTTACGTTAACAACGGGCATAGTTGTACACGCATGCGTTAATTATTTAGTACTGGAAACTACTATTTTAGATAGGGTATGTTAGATTTCGTCTGATTACGATTGTACAAACCCTATTTGTTTTCTTCTTTAAAATTGGACCCATGCCCTGAAATCCCTTACCACCAATCAATTTCACTCCTCAATTCTCTCACCACAATTTCCCTCACTTTTCCACTAATCAGAAAAGCTATCATTCTCTCTCATCTTATTTCTTTCTCTCTCTCTCTCTCTCTCACCCGTACCTCCCTCTTCTTTGCAACTACAAGGACTTTCATCAAACACTCACATATCGAACTTAAAAACACCACCATCGTGACCTTCTCATCCTCATGAACCCAGCCATACTAACTGATTCTCAAATGATCGAGTTTTGACCCGTCAACTTGGAGGATCCAACTCGGTGAGTTTTCCTCAGACGAGTTTCAGGCCGAGTTACAAGGTTTTAGGACGTGGGGAAGCTTCCACACAACTCCGTAGAGTCCCTAGGCTAAGTTTGGAGTGAAGACAACATCGAGAAGCACGATTTCAAGGAGTCGATTTTAGGTCAAGACTTTCAAGGCTTTTTAAAGCCATTTTCCGTCTATTTTTTGGCCTTTTAAAGGTATAATCTTGTTCTTCTCCTCAAGAGCTTCATTTCCATATAAAATAGGTAAAAAGTGGTGGAGAAATGAAGAAGTTATGAAATTTTCCAGAAACCAACGACCTTTTTCCAGTTTCCGGCGAAACCAGATGGCAACGGCAGCGGTGGCAGACGGCGAGAATCACTGGAGATGACGAGGAATATTCCGTCAAAGTTGACGGAATATTCTAACGACGTCAGGTAACGTCATTACTTCCGTCAATTCTAACGGAATATTCCTAACTTCTGTCAGTCACTAGCCTGCGCGTGTGGCCGTGGGCTAGCTGGCGTGTGAGGGCGCGTCCGGCCTCTGGCTGGCGAGTGCTTGACATGTGGGGGTCCGTGACGTCGAGTAGAACATTTTCGTATATTTAAACATTTCATTTGAGCAAGCTATGGGGATTTTTTCCTAACTTTTTCGTATATGTGTTATTTAATTAATTATTATTAGTTGTTTAGCATATAGGGGAGACTTAACCCGAGGACGTTCAAGGACAAGCAAGGTTAGGGGGCTACGATCCATCGACGTATCAATGAGTGGGCATTTTGTTTTCGTGCATATATATATATATATATATAAACTTTATAGTTTCCAAAAATGCTTTTAAATTGATTTATGCATATTATGCCATATTTTATTTTAATTTTAAAAAGGTTGTTATGTGGTTGAGATTTATATATGGTTATGGCATATTCATATACATTTTACCTACTCATCAAGGTTGTACTGTTGTTAAATGCTAAAATAATCCTACGGGATGCGCAAGTAAGTTCAGGTAAGTTTATTATGTTAATTGGAATTATTGAATCATCATGGCATGCTTATATTCATGTAGTCTGCTCATTGCTGCACCTCGGTGTTAGTGCTCGCCCCTGGCCAGGGCCAGTCCTTCACGTGTATGTTCACCTCTACACCGCACACTCGCCTTGGATCTAAGTAGGTGCCAGTCCTATCGTACAAGTCGCATTAGGCGATTCCGACTCGTAGGTAATCGCGCATAATGCCAGTCTTCACGTGATCGTAGTACTAGAGCGTATATTATGATTACACCCAATCCTGTCGTATATGTCACATTAGGCGACTCTAACTCATGTGTTAGCATAGATTGATGAGCAATTAGGTCAGTCATACAGGTCGCATTAAGCGACTCCGACTTGTGTGCTAGCATAGATTGTTAAGCAATTGATTATACTTATGCTACTGTCGTGATATCGTGATTTGGCATACTTATGGACTTATTGCTGATTTGCATTTGATTTCATACCCATACGTAATATGATTTTCTGGAAACTATACAAGTTTTACAGCGAGTAGTTAGTATGTTCAGAAAATAAATGAATTTTATAAACCTTTATTTTTGTGTCCACTCACCCTTCTGTTTTTCGCCCTTCCAGGTCCTAGTCAGTTGAATTCTCTGTGGCATTCGAGGAATATCCGGCGATTCTGATATATCTTTATTTAACGTAGGAACTTTTTCGGTTTGTGTAAGCACTTTTCTAGTCCCGACTGCTTTACTTTTATGTTATCTAGGCTCTGAACATTTGTATTTTATGGGTTCTACCCACTACTGCGCACTCACTTTATTAGTTTAAATTAGTTCTAGTTTTGGTTTTAATTTATTCACATTTTTATCACCTGCACTTTTGGTTACGTCACCTTCGGGTGACGGCCAGCATGCCTCGAATCCGGTCGGGCTGTGTCATTTTTAATTTTCAACTTTTTGTATCATAGTGCCTTTCGCCTCACTTTTATACTCAAACTTTGGTTTTTTTCTACCATTTTTGTACATTGGTTTTTTCTACCATTTTCATACTTCCATTAGCTTGCTCGTTAATTTTCCTATTAATTGATGACATGTTCAAGTAAGACAAAAGCTCATTCTTGTCATCAGCTAACGAATCATTTGATAAAAGAACCTAACGCAAAAAACTCACTGAGATTAAATTTAAGTGGGAACTTCAATAGTGATACCCATGATGTCTTTAGAGTATACCGAATCAATATACTTATAATTGACCAAAAAGAATCAATATACCTATCCTTCTTCTCTTCTAACACATAAAAGTGGCAAAAATTAAATTATAGGTATGAAGGTGAGCTGCCATTGCTTTATGTTATTTTGATTTGATTAAGCTGAATAGTGAAATGAGCTTTTGGCCTTTTTAGATGAAGTATCTGGACTGGGCCCATTTTTACGTTCACTAGCGTGCCTTGCTAAATGCTCGAATGAATCTAAATAATTGAGAAAGTGACGAATAGTCTGTTCTCTTAGAGTATCTTCAAAGGAGATGTCAAAATTTGAACATAAAATTTAAATTTGACAGCCTATGTGACATTTTGACATCTTTTAAAGTTTCATTGTCCACCCAATATGTTAAATTAAATTATTATTATATTATATTATAAAATAAATGATCAAATTAATAAAAACTTAATAAAAAGCATTTAATAATTATGAAATCTGGACTGTTCTTCATTTCTTTTTAACAAGAGGGGACCGTTCACTTACCTCAATTGAACAAAATGGAAACGGGTCAACAACAACCTTAATTGCAATGATGATTAAACCAATAAAAAATTAATCAAAAGCATTAATAATTAATTTTGAAGCTGCTGTCAAATTTGACAGCAACTCTCTTGCTGCCAATCCATGTCATCGCCATATAGGATTTGACATTTCGGTTGAAGAACATTAGTGTGGTCTTTTTTTACTGTTATACCTTATGTAGACATTTTGACATCTCCTTTAGAGATGCTCTTATTTACCTAATCTAATTTTGTCATTGTTTGTAATTATTACAAGGACATGAGCATTTCCAGCTTAACCTGATTACTATCAGACTCACAAAATTTATAGACGTCACAATTATTGTACATTTAGATTTTTAGACACATTTCGCGTTCACAACAACAACAACAACAACAACAAAGCCTTTTCCCACTAAGTGGGGTCGGCTATATGAATCCTAGAACGCCATTGCGCTCGGTTTTGTGTCATGTCCTCCGTTAGATCCAAGTACTCAAGTCTTTTCTTAGGGTCTCTTCCAAAGTTTTCCTAGGTCTTCCTCTACCCCTTCGGCCCTGAACCTCTGTCCCGTAGTCACATTTTCGAACCGGAGCGTCAGTAGGCCTTCTTTGCACATGTCCAAACCACCGGAACTGATTTTCTCTCATATTTCCTTCAATTTTGGCTACTCCTACTTTACCTCGGATAACCTCATTCCCAATCTTATCATTTCTCGTGTGCCCATACATCCCACGAAGCATCCTCATCTCCGCTACACCCATTTTGTGTACGTTGATGCTTCACTGCCCTGCCCAACATTCTGTGCCATACAACATCGCTGGCCTTATTGCCGTCCTATAAAATTTTCCCTTGAGCTTCAGTGGCCTACGACGGTCACACAACACGCCGGATGCACTCTTACACTTCATCCATCCAGCTTGTATTCTATGGTTGAGATCTCCATCTAATTCTCCATTCTCTTGTAAGATAGATCCTAGGTAGCGAAAACGGTCACTTTTTGTGATCTTCGCTAGATTGCTCCGGTCATTAGTGTGGATAAGTATATAAATGGATAGAGATAGGAAAGCAAACACAAGATGTACGTGGTTCACCCAGATTGGCTACGTCCACGGAATAGAGGAGTTCTCATTAATTGTGAAGGGTTTACACAAAAGCAAACACAAGATGTACGTGGTTCACCCAGATTGGCTACGTCCACGGAATAGAGGAGTTCTCATTAATTGTGAAGGGTTTACACAAGTACATAGGTTCAAGCTCTCATTTAGTGAGTACAAGTGAATGATTTAGTACAAATGACATTAGGAAATATTGTGGGAGAATGATCTCGTAGCCACGAAACTTCTAAGTACCGGAGTGTGGTATCGTCTTGACTTGCCTTATCTGTCTCATAGGTAGATGTGGCATCTTCTCTGGAAGTACTCTTCCTCCATCCAGGGGTGGTATCTGTAACTGGTGGAGATGCACAAGGTAATGTATCAATTTCACTTGAAGCTTACTTGTAGTTTCATGCTTGGTCAAGCGCGATACAAACCATGTAGTAGGAGTCCCCCAAGCCGCCGAGCTAGGGGATCTGCTGAAAGAGGTGACAGACAAGGTAAACAATCAGAGCTCCGACTGATTGTTCACATTCTCCTTATCTTGCAGGCAGCATGAAGGATAAAGAGAAGAAAAATGAGGAGAGATGATATGGGATACTTTTGCTTTTGAAGAAGTAACTTTCCACAGGCTTATTCTTGAACTGGGTTGGAGGGTTTTCTGGTTTCCTCCAGAGTATAAGGCCGACTGAAGAATTTGAGGGTCAAAACAAGTCCATCAAATCTAGAGTACGTTCGACCCTGCTGATATGTGATACTTTTGCTTTTGACAGAGTAGTGGATATATCGGCACGTGTGCTGTTACGCTTGTCTCCACATGCTTCCTTGTATCCTTCTCACTTGCCCTATTTGTTCCTCAGGCAGATGCGGTATCTTCCCTGGAAGCATAAGATGTTGAAGATGAGTACTCGAGAGCAATGCCAGGTAAGTAATCAGGTAAGGGGTTCCAGGCAGTCAGTTCCTGGCTGGAAGCTTGATTCCAAGTGCTGACTGATTGCTCTCTTTCTCCTTGTCTTGCAGGTAAGAACAAGGCCAAAGGAAAAGACAGGGAAAAAGCATGATATGGGATACTCTTGCTTTTAACCCTGATGATATGAGATATTCTTGCTCTAGTATAGCTTGTTTACAGAGGTATTATCGGGGGGAAAGAAAGCTGAATATTTCGAAAGGCTTCGTTGGGAGTGCCCTCTCAGATAAGAGAAAGGGTTGAGCATTTTTGCAGGTCTGCCTGTCCGTTAGGGATGGAGGTCGACATATATAGGAGTCTCCCTAACATCAAGTAATAATGCTATTCCTTTACCCTGCTTGGTTATAGCACGGTAGTGGGAGCTGCCAGCTTCACATGTTTTAACTCTGTCAGAGCACTTTGAAAAGTGGTCTGTGGTATCTGGAAAGCTGATGTTGTGTGTGAAGATTACAGACAAGCTTTATCTAAGGAGATCCAGCTCTTGAAGTTGGGAAAGTGGTGCCTCTTCGATTTTCGAACAAGCAATACTGTCGGGGATCTGGCTCTCGAGATTCGGAGAACGATACCTCTTCGATTTTTGAGAAAGCAATCCTGCTGGGGGTCTGGCTCTCGAGATTAGGAGAGCGGTGTCTCTTCGATTTTTGAGAAAGTAATCATGTTGGGAGTCTGGCTCTCGAGATTCGGAGGGCGGTGCCTCTTCGATTTTGGAGCAAACAATCTTGTTGGGAGTGTTTTCTCGAATGTGAGTAAAGGTTGGACGTGTTTGCTAGTCTACCTTGCCACAAAACACAGAGGTTGACACACAAGGACTTTCCAATTATCCAGCAGTGGTACTGTTCCTTTACCCTCTCTTCAATTTTTGAGAAAGTAATCATGTTGTGAGTCTGGCTCTCGAGATTCGGAGGGCGGTGCCTCTTCGATTTTGGAGCAAGCAATCTTGTTGGGAGTGTTTTCTCGAATGTGAGTAAAGGTTGGGCATGTTTGCTAGTCTACCTTGCCACGAAGCACAAAGGTTGACACACAGGGACTTTCCAATTATCCAGCAGTGGTACTGTTCCTTTACCCTCTCTTCGATTTTTGAGAAAGTAATCATGTTGGGAGTCTGGCTCTCGAGATTCGGAGGGCGGTGCCTCTTCGATTTTGGAGCAAGCAATCTTGTTGGGAGTGTTTTCTCGAATGTGAGTACAGGTTAGGCATGTTTGCTAGTGTACCTTGCCACGAAGCACAGAGGTTGACACACCGGGACTTTCCAATTATCCAGCAGTGGTACTGTTCCTTTACCCTTGTGGGTAATAATATGGTAGTAGCTAGACCTTCAAAATTTATGTGTTTAAACTTTGTTAGTGTTGTTTCTTTGCAATTCTTTTACCCTTCTTGGTCAGAGCGATGTAGTGGGAGCTGCAAGCTTCACGTGTCTCAACTTTGTCAGAGAACTTTGGCAAAGTTATCTGTGGTACCCATGAGCTACTGTTGTGTGTGGGAAGTGGGTGATTGAACAGTACGATTCATGTGCTTTCTACTTCGTCAGAAATCTTCGACAGAATGCCCATAATTTCCGCAAAGCTGAGTGTGCGTGTGACAGGTGCTGACAAGGCTGGAAAAAAAGTAGGTGCCTCTTCGATTTCTGAGATCGGCCCTCGTGGTCTCTGAGCATCCCAGCTTTTGAGAAAGCAAGCCTCTTCGATTTCTGAGATCGGCCTTCGTTGTCTTTGAGCAGCCCAGCTTTTGAGAAAGCAAACGCCTCTTCGATTTCTGAGCAGGCGCCTCTTCGATTTCTGAAGCTTCGTCGAGTGCAGATTTTTATAGGGGCTGACATTAAGTTCCAAAGCACACTTGAATATCCACTAGTAGAAGCTCCATTCTTGCACTTCTAAGATCTTGATTTGTCCGACCTCTTCTCTCTTCAACACCTTTGAAAATGTCTGGCCCCTCTGACCGTCGTTTTGACTTGAACCTTGTTGAAGAGGCAGCCCCGCCTTCTCCAGACAACATATGGCGCCCATTCTTCGTCTCCCCTACTGGTC